ATTCATTTTCCATAAAAAATTGTAGTAATTATAACAATCTCTCTTACCTAGTTTAGGACATGATTTTTCCTTAAAGTTGTCACAATCCACGCACAAACCAGTCTTGTAATGTTTGTATGAATAACAAGGAAGTGAAATAAAATTGCAGCCTGTTTCCAAAGCTGCCATGAACAAGTAAACTGCTCTCTGGTGGTCACATTTAATAAATTCAAGTCCTTAAGTGTTAAAAATCAAGCAATAGATGTATTAGGCCAACTTCAAGTACATTAGAAAAAAATAAAAGATTAAATTTTACCTAAAGCTGTGCACTTTATGAATATCAAAGTGTTGACTACAATGCAGTTTTATCTCAGGCAACTAAGCAAATGGTGCCACTGAAAACTTAAATATACTATGCCTTTTACGTGAGATGTATAAGAAATTTTTCTGAAGTAATCATTAACGCAGCAAAAATGTTTAATTTCAATATTCCAACAAATTTGACACACACAGTGCTACCATAGTTAATAACTACTGTACACATCTCTCCCTTCTAACCCCCACCCCTAACATTTCTACTCAGTGTCAGAGATGACTATGAAACCAGGTGATATTAAAACTTTATTGTGTCTCTTTCCTTTCAGAACTTCTCATATACTTGTCCCTTGGACCAAACCTCCAGTTGCAGTGGCCTTTAATGATGTATTGTTTGACTAGTTGACTACAGACCTCAGAACATTTCTCACTATGGTTCTGAAGTGAGCCAAATTCCATGCCTGGAGCAGTTGCACAGCTGTTTATGTACAAAGTAACCAAGTGCAAGAGTTCATAAATCTGTGTTTGTGCAATACTATGGTAATGGTAAATATTAAATCCTGAAACCAAACTTGTGCTGTATGGTATGTGCTATATTGACTTATAACTTCTCCTAATGTTTAAAACAAACTAAAACTGTTGAAACTATAAGTTTCACCCATAACCAAATGGGATATCTACTGGTAACCTTTATGAACTAAGAAAGATCAAATTAAACCATTTTCCACCAATAGCTCTCTTGAATCATGGGCAATGATGATCAAAATCTTCTCCACAGGTTAAGAGGGGAAAAATAAATTGATTTGCTTTCATTATTTTGAATCATATGCAATTTATTCTAAAATGCTATTGTTATACCTGAAAAAATGGATTTAGGACAGCCAGGTTGCCTTTTTCCTCCATTTGGAAAAAAATCTATATGTCCCAAGGGTTCTTTAATGCCTAAACCTGAAAGAAAAGCACCCAAGAATCACAAAGTAGATAATCAGGTCAGCAGCACTTACATAAAACAAAATCTCCTATAAAATCCATTGAAAGTGACTCTTAAAATTTAAATTGAAAGTAAAATAAATGCTATTTTGAAAATATGAGTTCTTCTGGTATTGATTCCTCAAATTAACTCCTTATGCAAATCATGTTTCATTAATTTTACACATTTACCTGTGACCAGTGTATTATGGGCCCAGGACAGTTCTTTGTGCTGTGACTATGTAAGTGAAAAAGAAGAAAAATAGAGCAAAAGCCCTTATTGTAGTGGAAATTACATTCTAGAGGAAGAAAGACATAATAAACAAGTAAAAATATAATATGTCAGATAGTAAGTGCTGTAGAGAAAAATTAAGTAAAATAAGGGACAGTGAATGCCTAGGAAGGGCTCTAGGTTGCACTTTTAAATAGTTTGGCTGGGGAATTGCCCACTGAGGAGGGGAGAATTGGGTGAAGACAGGAGAGATGTGAGTGAGGCAGTGAGCCAAGCAGAAGGTTAGCTGGAGTGTAATGTGTGAGAAGGAGCATTGGAGAAAATGAAGGCAAGTCGTTTAGAATCCTTTAAGTAAGTGTGTTGATTTGCTCTTATCCTGGATAAAAATGTGTAGGACTTGGTGCTAGACTAGAAAAATTGAAAGATGATGCTCCAGCCGAAACAAGTTGGGCCAGAGTGACGTGAAACATGTAGCTATGATTTAAGAGGTTCTATATACATTCATCCATTGGTATCCCCTGGTATTGGTTCCAGGCCACCCCCCCAACACTCCCCCCACCATGACATGGACACCAAAATCCGAGGATACTCAAGTCCCTTATATAAAATGGTACAGCATAGTCATCCCTCTGTACCTGTGAGTTCCGCAACCACAGATACAGAGGGCCGACTGTTTCTGCAGAGCCTTGAGACACTGGGGAAGGGGCAAATTCTGAGTGCATTATCAATATGGGGTCTATAACCCAGGGAAGCCATAGGAATAAAAGAGGATAGCAGGATCAGAAAACTCAGGACAGGGGTTAGATATAAAATCTTGCTGCCAAGTAAAATTGCAGCCCTTTGGCTTGGGGTACAAAAAATTGCCTACAACATAATGAACTCTTAAGAGACATCAGCAATTGATTTAGCACAACAAAGATAAATACTTGCATCTGACAGTATGTGTTACAATTCAGCGACTCGATTTAGTCCTAGTATATATCAGAGCAAGACGACAGCTAGTGAGGTGTTAGCAGGGCATGAGAACTCTGGGCATGCGCATTAGAGGGGAGGGGATTCATATACGGAAAGACAGGACAACTTAGATGACTTCATTAGAACTTTCTGGAATCGAGTGTGGCAAATATATGACTTAATTGTGACAGTGGTGAGGGTATGCTAACCAAGTCCTCTTCAGGTTCCATCATCAATTTAGCTTGTAGAATTTTAGGAAGGAAGGACAGTCTCCTAAATGTAATTTTTTAAAGTCCAGTAATTTTGGAGATTTAAATTTCCTCATAGCTGAACTCAACATGGAGTTCGAAGCCTAGGAGGTTTAAGGTTTGGGGCCATCATTTTCTTCCATTTGTCTCTGAAGTATAATCAAACCAAGAAGACTGCTCAGGAATTAGGAAAACGCAAAAGATATTTATTAACTTACAAGCAGCCCTTGATTCAGGCATGTCATTTCCCTTTTATCAGATGGAAGGGGCAGGGCAGCTTGATCTGCTTAGGTCATTCATTCTCTTGGTTTCAGAAAGGGTGGGGAGAGCAGATACAACTTTTTAATTTTCTTTTTATTGTAAAATATAACACATACATGCAGACAGACCATAAAACTAAAGATTAATTAATAATTCTAAAGCAAATAGCCACTTAGCTACCACACCCATGTCAAGAAATAGCACCTGGAAACTCCTGCTGAGCCCTTACCCAACCACCAGCTTCCTTCTTCCCTATAAATATAAGAACTATCTTTTAATTTTTTGTTTTGTTTTGTTTTTTTGCTATTGTTTGTCTTTACCTTCTAAGGATGCCTCCCAAAACAATATATTTTAGATTAGCCCATTTTGGAAATATATAGAAATTGACTCATATTTCATGCATACCTTTGTATCTGACTTCTTTTGATTATTAGGATATTTGTGATATTAAACCACATGGTCAAGTGTAAATGTAGTCATTCATGTAATCATTCACTGTTATACGGTACTTCATTGAATGAAGGTACCGCAAGTTACTTATCGATTCTCCTGTTGGTGGACATATGTTGTTTCAAATTTGGGGTTAATATATATTAATACTGTGAACATTCTTAAAACACACACCTAGGAGTGGAATTGCTGTGTTGTAGAATATTAATATTTTCAATTTTAATAAATAATGCTAAATAACTTGCCAAAGAGGTTGTACCAATCTACACCCCTACCAATGACATGAGTATTTCTGTTACTCTCCATCGTCTCCAATAAATAGTCTCACCAGGCTTTCTAATTTTAGTCATTCTGGGAGGCATGTGGTATTTCACTGGAGTTTTAATTGACATGTTTCTGCTTGCAGAAGCTTTTGAGAACTTTTCATTGCCTGTGTGGAATTTCCTTTTTGTAAAATGTCTGTTCAAGTCTTGACTTTTTTTAATTAAATAGACATTTCCCTTTACTATTGATGTATAGTGGTTTCTTATCTCTTCTCCTATTTTGGCTTCTATTAGCTTCCTTAAAATGTTCTTTAATGAAGTTTTCATTTTCAATATAGTCAGATATTTTAATCTTTCAATTTGGGTTAGGGATTTTCATGCACACTACAGAAAAATATTATGTTATAAAGACTTTAAAAATAATAGCTCATAACATATTTATTGTTTCTCCTTTCACATTTATACACACCATAAGAAAAGAATTTTTGTGTTTTATGGGGGTGAAGACCTTTTTTATTTCAATTTGAGTTTTCAACTGACTAACATAGAACTATTTATCAAAAATTCTACAAATAACAAATGTTGGAGAGGATGTGAAGAAAAGGGAACCCCTGTAACACTGTTGGTGGGAATGTAAATTTGTGCAGCCACTATGGAAAACAGTAAGGAGGTTCCTTAAAAAACTAAAAATAGAATTACCATATGATCCAGCAATTCCACTCCTGAGTATATATCTGGAAAAAATGAAAACACTAATTTGAAAAGATACGTGCACCCCAATATTCACAGCAGCACTATGTACAGTAGCCATGACATTGAAGCAACCCAAGTGCCCATCAATAGGTAGATAGATAGATAGATAGATAGACAGATAGATACACACACACACACTCTGTCTGTCTCTCTCTCTATATATATATATATACACACACAGTAATATATATGAAATACTGCTATTTGCAGCAACATGGATGGACCTAGAGAATATTATGCTTAGGAAAATAAGTCAGAGAAAAACAAATACTACATGATATCACTTATATGTGGAATCTAAAAAAAGTAATATAATTGAATGTATATACAAAACAGAAACAGACTCACAGACATAGAAAACAAACTTATAGTAACCAAAGGGGAGGAGGTGGAGAGAGGAACAAATACAGGGTATGGAAATAATAGATACAAACTACTATGCATAATATAGATAAGCAACAAAAGTTTACTGTATAGCACAGGGAATTATACCCAATATCTGACAATAACATATGATGTAAATTTGTAAAAAAAAAAAGGAAAACAGAAACACTTTGCTGTACACTTGAAACTAATACAATATTGTAAATCAATTGTTATTCGATAGAAAATAAGAAACCCAGAAAAAAATTAGAATCATTTTCACACTGTCCAACAGTTCCAAAATCATCATAATTCTAGTACATTCCATGACTCTGTATTTTGTTTCACTGGCTTTTTTTGTCTACCCTTACACTAATGTGACACTGTCTTCATTACTACTCTTTTAATAGGCTTGATATCTGGAAGAACATGTCTTTGTACTTTTTCTTCTTCAAGAATACTTTGACAATACTTGGCCCTTTGCATTTCCATATTAAATTTATAATTAGTTTGTGAGCTTCTTTTAAAAAGATTGGCTTTTGACAAAGATTGCATTGAATCAGTAAGTCAACTCGAAAAGAACTGACCTGTACAGTACTTGGATTCACACATATGGTTTATTTCCATTTTATTTTGGTCTGCTCTAATTATATCCTGCAGTTTTTTGTGATTTTCTGCATAAAGCTCTTGCACAATTTTGCTAAGAGTTATTTCTAGGTATATCATACTTTATGTTATTAAAATGGTATAATTCTAGAATTTTATTTGCTCTTACTGCAGATTTTTAGAAAGAACTGAATTTTGCATATGCAACATATCCAGCAATCTTCCTGAAATTTCCTGTGAATTCTAGTCAATTATCTGGAAATTCTTTGGTGTTATCAATGTATGCAAACATATCACCTGAGAATGATATTTTATATGCTTCTACCCTTTAATACTTTTCTTCCCTTACTGCATTAAGACATCCAGTAAAATGTTGCCTTAGAATGACAAGGATAAACATTCTTATCCAGTTCCCAATCTCAAAAAGAAAGTCTTCCAAATTCCATCACTGAAGTAACATTTTCTATTGATTTTTGAATAGAAATATTTTATCAGATTGTGGAATTTTCTTTCTGTTTCCAATGTGCCAAAGTTTTTGCCATATATACATTTTCCCAAAAGCTTTTTCTGCATTTGATTGAAATTAAGTGGATTGTCTTCCTTATTTTTTTGCTAAAATGAATTAAGAAACTGATTTTGAATGTTAAATTAAATATACATTTTAATAATAATTCCAAATTGGGTGTTTCATTATCCATTTTATGTTGCTGAATTGGTTTTACTAATATGACATTTTATGCAGAATTTTTGCTTCCATGATTATAACAGAGAATGTCTAGCAAACTGTCTTTTCTGCAATGTCTTTCTCAACTTTTGACATTAAGTTTATGATGGCTTTCTAAAAAAGTTGTAAACAATTTCCTTTTGCTTGTTTTTTTTAATTCTCTGAAAGTGTTCATGTGAGAGTTGTCTTATTTATCACTTAATTATTTGGTAGAGAACAAAAATTTGCCTAGAATTTACTTTGTGGAAGGCTTTAAAGTACAGTTTCTATTTCATCAATAATTACAAAACTATTCAAATTTTCTCTTTTCATCTGTCAGTTTTGTAAATACTTTTGCTTTTTCACTAGAATTTTTCTATTTCATATACTATATATATATACTATATGTTTTCATACTTTCATAATGTTGTTCATTATATTGTTTTATGATGATTTTAATACCTGTATTATCTGTAACACTATCTCCTTTATTATTATTGATATTAGTTACGTTTTCTCTCCTTGTTCTTTCTGTATTTCCTCTCCAAGGGTTTATTAATTTGGAGGGTGATATACAAAGTTCAAGCATTCTATGTTCCTTTCACTTTTTTCAAAGGAAGGTAAATGACATATACATTTTAAATGATTAATTAGGTGTTTTCAAAGTGCAAATATTTCACTTTTTAATCACTTCTAATTCATATTTTATTCCATTATTTTTGTATGATTATTATTAGCTTCTTTCTCAATAGCTATGGGTGTGTTTTACCTTTAATTCTTAATATCTCAAGATAACATGCTTAGATTAGTGATTTTCAGCCTTTTAAACATCTGTATTAAAAACAGGACATTTACTTCTCGTCATGGGTTTTGCTGACTCCAACAAATTTTAATATGTAGTAACTTTAATACTGTTGAACTTAAAATATTTTATATTTTCATTATTATTTATTCTTTCCTTATTAGTTATCTAATTAAGTTCTCTAAAATATCCATGTGTGCTTTAGAAGAATGTAAATTCTCCAGTTTTGGGGTATAATGTTTTATAAATGTCTATTAGATCAATTTTGCTAATTCAAATCTCCTACTATGTGCAGTTCCTATTTTTTCTGTAATATGATAATGTTAATTTTGCTTTATGTAATTTGAAGGCATGTCACTAGATATAAAGGTGCCAACCATGTGGCATCTAGTAGCAAGTTAGATCTAATAGACTGAGTCATCAAAAGATATTAAGAGTATAAGACAATCCAAACAGTTTATTAGGAAAAGTCAAAAATGCAAACAAAAATAATAAAAAGTGTGAAGAGCTAATTCAAAAGTCTGTAGGCAGAATTTCAGAAAAAAGAGTTCAAAGAACTGCAGAGTAATTGGGCAGTAGGTGTACTGCGTGTGGGAATGTTAAGCTGATACAAATGTCTAGACATAAAGAAGACTTGAAAGTTTGAGGTCATATCAGAACTATGAAATTTTAGGCATCGACTCTCTATAAGGTGTAGGTGAATTTAGATTTCAGAAAAAGAGCACTAACTCCAAGAAATGTTGCTTGTGGGAAAGACACCCATATAATTTACAGTCTTATCATCACTTCATCCACTACTCTTTTCTCTTGCATTCTCCTCTTCCCAAGCATCTACATCTCCTTTTCCATTTTCAAATAGTTAAGCAGTAAATCCTGCATTGTTACCATTGGTATCAGTATGGATGACATCCACAAAATTTGCATCAGTGTAATCTAATCTGCCATTTGACGGTTTTCCAGAGAATTGTGGCCCAGCTGGGTCAAGACCTGAAATTCAAGAAAGAAACTATTAATCTATTGATCAAGTCATACTGCAATGTTCATGAGATCATATGCCTGCATTATCATCACATTATAAACGTAACAAGCCTAGACAGTTTTAGCTTAAAGCCTTCGAAAAACAAATCTAAAGATAAATGAAATTAGATGAATAGCAAGTGCCTTCTTTATTTGAATATTTTTTACCAATCTTAAGAGTTTATTAACAGTATAGTGTTAGATACCTCAACAAAATATTATGGGGTTTTTTTTACATTTTTATTTTAAAAGTAATTAGGAATATATTGATAGTAACTTTATATTTAATAAAAAATAACAACTACTACTCCTGAGTGGGAAAAATAATAAATACCATCCTGGTTCTGTCTTGAACCTTATGAAGTACTAGCTTATCCTGAATCTACCTACAGGTCTAAAATGATTTTAAGTGTCAAATGCAGTTTGCGCTGTGGGACAAAACATAGTTATTATTATCTTATTTATTTCTCACAAAAATTTTCCACACAAACACATCAGAAAGGAAAAATATATTAAAAGTTTCACAGAATACAGATAGTATTTCTACTGTATTTGAAATTCTAGATACAAATTCTAGATTCATGACCTATTGGAGAGTGTCAAAAAGGTGAGGAGATAAAATGCAATGCCTTGAGAACATCTATGCGATAGGAAAACAATCATCTTAAAAGATATTTTAAAAAGTAAAATATAATATTGCTCATGTGAGGCCCTTCTGTTATCCCTACTTTATTTGGCCCACTTGACTGACTGAGGCAGAAACTTCTCTATTTTCTATACATTGCTCTGATGTGGAACCACCACATTTGCTAGCCTTTTATTTTATTTTATTTTTTTTAATTGAAGTATATTCAATTTACAATGTTGTGTTAGTTTCTGGTGTACGGCACAGCAGAGTGATTCAGCTATTTGTATAATATATGACAGTAACAGCCAGTAGTAACACCTAAGCCAGGATTTATACAAGGTCTCCAGCATCCAAGCCCATTCTCTTTCAACAACCTTAACTAGCTCAGTTGGAACTCCTGGTAATCCTACCTTATTTTAAGGTGTACTTACTCCATATTACTCTAGTGTGAATATGTCCACATGCCAAGCAGTCATCAGGGTTTAAAAAGCCAGTGAAGGGGGTGGGAAGGGATACATTGGGAGTTCGGGATTTGCAGACACTAACTACTACATATAAAATAGATAAACAACAAGGTCCTACTGTACACTATATTCACAGGGAACTATATTCAATAGCTTGTAATAAACTATATTAAAAAGAATTTCAAATGGAATATATATATATATATATTTTCAGTTAAGAACTAAGTAAGACTTTAGAGTCTGACTAAAACAGACCAGCATTTGAATTTAATATAGAAAAAAAATTTGTGCATCATTTCCATTCCTAAAATATTATTCCTGTTAAATTTTAAATAAAATAATTTCTGATGCTTAAAATATTTTACCTGTTATTCTTCCAATTTGACCTTGAAATATCTTTCCAACAAATCCACTAATATGAGCCCCTAAGCTCACACCTATGAAGTGAAAATTATCAAGAGACGCTCCATGCTTCTGCAATTCAAAATGCAGTGTTACAATTTTCATTTCAGAAAATCACAAATTATGCCTTGTTGCATCAATATTCTAAAATTCATTATTTTTTCTGTTTTAATCCACTCCTGAGAGACAAGGAATGGAATTTTATAATTTTAAAACAACTATATCTTTATTCAACATTTTCCATAAAATATCTGATTTTTCTCTACACATTTTAATACTATTAAATTTTTATTTAAAAATCATAAAACAAACTTCATTTTAATCTAGAATAGCATATGCAAAATAACACAATTAATAAAGCATTTTATAATAATAACAATAATTAAACATTTTGGGGTACTTTGTGCTAGCTACATTGATAAGTGCTTTATAAATCTCATATGTAATATTCTTAATAGTCCTATGAGTTATTTATTGTTATCCTATTGCCAAAAACTTTCTCTGATACCCATTAAATGCTGAATAAATATGGTTTGATAATGAGTTTCGAAAGCCCAATATACTTATTACTATAAGGGGAAAAGATGGACTTAAAGTCCAGGTCTATTTAACTTCAAAGTATATATTAATCTACCTCTCTGTTTTATCTGTAGACTGTGACAAAGACTTTAGGGAGACTGAACAGTGTGAATAGTCAGCCTCACTTCAGAGATGATAATATGAGACTCGGGAATTTTAAGTGATTTCCTCAGATCATAAACTGGAGAGTTATGGAGCCTGATCTTCCAAGCCCAACTTTTGAACACCTCTTAGAGTCTCAGCCCAGGGGTGGGGGGTGGGGGGCATCAGGAGCTTAAATGAAGGAGAATCTGTTCTACCACACTTTCAGGAAGCAGGTGATGGTCCAGCCTACACAGTGAAAGTTCTGATGGCTTATGGTAAAATGTGGAGCATTTACTCTAATGAGAAACTAGATCCTGGTTTTCCAGGCACAGGGTGATAATTTTCTTCAAATTTCTAAGACCAATGCCCAGAAGCCTGAGGGAGTATTGCTCTCAACTTTAATGCTACTGGTCTTTTATCCCTTCTCCCTAGTATGAAGCCTTTGCAAGCAAAATCAAAGTTAGAAATTTATCTCATACTACAAATTTTCCTAAATTTCTCTATTTAACATTCACATTTTCCACACTTTGAGTTACATATTTATGAGTTAGAGAAAAGACCACTACTAAAAGGAAAAATCAATTATGTAATTTAAAGACTATCAGAACGGGTGAATCAAGTACTTCCTGTCTCTCCAGAGGGATGCTTGGGGTTTGTCCAAATTTGGAGATGTAAAAATAATGATACCTGATTATATTCAATGGTTATTATATGCCAAATACTGATGAAGAATTAATTTCATTTAATACTTAGCTAAGATATCGATATAAAGTTTTGCTATGGCATAGGATAACAAAAGGAAAGACAAGGAAATGAGGCAGAAAGGTTAAGCAATTGCTCCAAGTCACACAGATAAGGGATAGATTTGGTCTTTGAACCCTTCCATTCTGACTCCTAACCACAGCATGCAACTGCTTCCTGGATCTGTGATGCTTGCTCAATTTCGGCAGAGACTTGGAAGTTCAGCACAACCCAACTCAAAGGCAGATATCAAGACCAAAGAATGCCCCCAAATCAGATATCCACCCTTCTTTCTCTCAAGTGCCCATTACCACTAGCTCTCTCTAGAATAGACATGGATCTCCATGTGGATTGATTTAGGAAAACAGAGATCATTAAACCAACAGATAACCTAGACCGGTACTGAATTTATTTGACCCTTCCAAACCCTAGACCCAAAGGCTGGACAAATCTAAATAGACCTGCCTTGAAGGTTGGCAAAAGTGTGCTATTTTCAAGGTGTTTTTCCCTCAATTTTACCAATGTACACTTTACTATAAGCATATTAGACATGCCTTAGAAAAGATGTCTTAAAAATCCAATGCTTATATAGTTTATCTCCCCTATCCACATAGAATTACCACCTTATTGTGAAGTCAGCATAGGTAGTTAAAAAAAAATCTAAAATATTTTAAGAAAAAAATAACTGAATCTTTAAGATAATTTAAAAAATAAGACAGGTCATATCTAGGTATACAATTATCCATTTACACAAAGAAATGTTTATGGGAAAACAGTTTTATCTTATTACCACTTTGTAGTATTACATAACATGCTGTATATTGTATAACATATTTAATACATAAAATTCCAAACTTACCAAAAGATTATGAATGTACCTACTCAAACTCACAGCAACTTTTCTGGTATTTTTAACTGCTCTATTGTAAAGAAAAGTTGTAGCACCTCGGTTCCAGTCTACTATAATTATATTCACATTGTCTTGGTTCAACAAAATCCTTACAAATTTCTGAAGCCACGATGGAGTGGAGCCCATTGGTCTGTATCCATGAATAAGCCAGACTGTTTTCTTGCTTGTGTTGAAATGAACATTAAGTGAGTTGTCCTGCTGAAACAGTGGCTCTGCACAATTTGGGTTGTTCCTTGTATACAATATCAGAATTACCTCCATTTTGGGAATAAACAGATCTTTGAAGGAATCCTTTACACTTAGCTGAGAGAATTCAAGGCATGGTCCTTTATTCTCTGAAATTAAAAAAATATATATATATCAGTCAAGCTGAGTATTGGGATAGTATTTGATTCAATTCCTGTTGCTGTTACAAGGAAAAGAATTGAGCTTGGAGGGTGAGGAGGATTTCATTTTATTAGCACTTTAACATAATTTACTGAGCAACTACAATGTTTAAAGTAATTCACTGATTACTTAAACAGACTTTTTGAACTAGACATATTCAAATTTTTACAATGAAATACAGAAATAAATGTAGTTGGTTAAAAAGTAAAAATTAATTTTTATTTGTACAAAATAGCAATCGTATGACTAATGTAATTAATATTATTAATAAGGAAATTGTTATACACACCAATCAACAGAAGTCCATAAATTATGAACTTTAATAGAAATTTTGCAGAAGAATGTTTAGATATGGATAAGTATTAGAAAAAAACATACTTTACCTGACTAGTGAGCAAATAAATACAAATCAAAACAAAAAAATGTATCATTTCTTCATATCAAATTAAACAAAATGGAAAATCCTTTTAATACATAATATCTATAAGGGTAAATGCAAAGGTTCATATAACATGGATGCTGAGAGCATAAGTTGATACATCCTTTTGAAATTTTATACATGTGTACGTGTATACTACACACACATAATCTTAAAAATGTTCACTCGTCTTGATTTCTTTCTAGGATTTACATTAATGAAGTAAACAATTTGTATTAAATGTAAAGACATTAATTATAGGGTTATGCATAATCACACAAAAATTTAAAATACTTTAATTATCATCATACAGAATTTTATCAATGTGTGCATCCTATTTGTCTATCCATCTACCTACATATCTATCTATCCATCCATACATTCTAGAAGGAAGTAGGGCAGAAAATGAAACAACTAGGCCAAATCAATGGCAATAGTCACTACTAGGCAGGGAAACATGGCTTTTTTTTTTTCTTTTCATAGTTTTAAGAATTGTTCATTTTTTTGCAAAATAAGTATATAGCCTAAAAATATTTTTTTAAATGAGAGCATAAGATCGTACTGCTTCTGGAAATTTAACTTGGCAAGAAGTTTGGAAAAACAATTTGTCAATATATATCAAAAATTCATAAAAGTATTAGTAAAGTTTATGCCAGTAATTACACTTCTAAGAATCTGTCCCAAGAAAATAGTCCAAAAATATATTTAAAAGAACTAATATACACTATTTTATACTGGAGAAACAGAAGCAATTGAAATGCCCAGAAATAATGGCGCACTTAAGTAAATTTCATATATGCATATTTGATAAATTTAAATAAATATTTTAACATATGTAAATATGTATTTTAAATGACATATATATTTGGGAAATCAATATTAATATGCATTAGTGACAATCATTCTTGTTTGGAGAGTATATATGTGATATTGTCACAATTATTTAGAAGATAAAGAAGGCAGTGAAAAAGCAGCAAGACCTGCATTCAGTTCCCATGTTAACAGCCAGGAGATATTTGGACAAGTGAAAAACTTTGATACTTCATTTGCTCTAAGTACTAAGAAATGAGGAAGTGGAGAGGAGGTATAAATTAAACTTCAGTGCAATATCAGTGCTGACTATATCGTACAAATTGTGTAGGAAATTGTGCTTGTCCACCTTCCTACCAGCTGAAACTCTGAGAAGTTCAAATGCAATGGATATATCCAAATTGCTAGTCCACTCTAAACCAAGGTAGACTGTACCTCGCCCTGGAATGAGGAATGAGGAATAAACAATAGCCTCCTTGTGATAAAATAAGGAAAATAAATCACCTAAAACCATGAAGAGAAACATCTATCGTCCATTACCAGATGTAGAAGTAATTGCAGAAAACTTTTTGTCACCTTCAATAGAATGCAAGAAAAATCACATCTCAAAAACAGGAAACCATTGTGAGAAAATTTATTGAGGCAAAAAAAAAATAGGTTAGGTTAAAAAGGGAATAACAAGATACTCTAATTCAGGAAAAGTAAAAATGCAAATGTCAAGTAAAAATTCACATTATAGATGCTAAAACATGGAAATCTCACCTTATAGTAAGAAATGAAGGAAGAAAGATATTTAAATTATAAAGGTAAACATAGATTTGAGACAGGGAATAATGATTCAAATTAAAAATCATCAATATTCCCCTGGCAGGTGGGGGAGGAATTGGAGAGAGAGAGAGAGGGTAGCAGCTAAAACAATTAAAGAAATAACTGCTTACCAGGGTGTACCAACTGAAAAAGACTCAACACAATCTAGAGAAAATCATTTAATCAGGTTCACCAAGAGAATTCCTAAAACCTAGCTTGGGTTTCAAGAGAAAATATTCTAAAAATATCAAGGCAGAAAATTCAAGTTACAAATAAAAGAATGAAGTTATGACTTCAGATTTACAAAACAATGCATCAGACAGATAAAAGTGTAATAAATGAAGATTTTAAGTGCAAAAGTTTGTGACCTAATAATTTCAAATTCTTCCTAAAATACACCACTCATAACTGACTAAGTGCAGGTCCTGAAATCATCCCTGTTAAATAAATGATAGATTTACTGAAGACAAGATCCATGGAAACTCACAGCATAAAAAGATTGAAAGTGATCATAGAAACAAGTCAGACACCAATTTATGTGTAAATATTATAAAACTGAGTAAAACATGAATGCAATCTATGGTACAAAAATTCCTTAACTGGGGTACTCAAAAGATGTTAATTTAACATTTTTTAATAAATAGATAAGTATGGATTTTAAAAGATATTGAAACTTAACTGTTAGCCATTACTATATAAACAATACATATAACTTTCTACACACTAAAAATATAAAAGTATAACAAACAGTGTATGTATATCCAAAAGATACAAAGAAATTTGAAAACTAAAAATAGAAAGTAGAAAGTATAAAACAAAATGATAAAATTACACGAGAAAAAAATCTTTGTGATCTATAAACAGCTACGTAACTGTATAAATCCTGCCTATTACAAAACAAAAAAAGTCAGATTTCATAAGAAAAAAATTAGAAAATTAGGTATAAAATATTTAAAAGAAGTGCATGGGAAATTTTAAATAATTGGAGAGGTAGGTGTATCCTACATAAATAAAATGAAAGGAAATTAGGTTGATATACTAGATTGCAGTGATGGCTCCAATTCATCTTTCCTGATGTCCATGCCATTTGCCTTGCAACTTTGAGATATTCTCCCATCATAAATGGGGTGACTTGCTTGATGTGGGTACAAATATTACAGCTTGCCCTGGAAAATAGGACCTTGGTAGACATAATGCAAGCAGATGCTGAACTGGGCTTGCCCTTTAGGGCTAGGCCTCTCATACTTCTTCTGTCACCATGAGAATACCCCAGGTCTGGCCTGCTAGAAAAGGAAAAACAGGTGTAAAAGAGCTAAGTTGTGTTAGTCTCCCCAGCTGATCGATAGCCAGTCAACAGCCAAACATGCCAGTGAAGCCAACAAAGAAGAGCAGCGCCTAAGGAATTCCCACCTGACTCCATGCAGGTGAGTAATAACTGCATTACATCAAATGCCACTGGGGGTGTGGGTTTTTATTTTATTTTGTTTAGCTTTATTCTGATATCATATAATCAACTTCACTGGTTATATTAATATCACGTTAAGAAAACAAACAAACCTTTCTAAATGGTACCAAAAAGTTACACTAGTATATTGTAAAGCTCTTACAGAACATCACACTGAATCAACTCTCGTAGATTTTAGGAGTAGAAAGAGAAATAAAATCCTATGCATCAAAAACTTATAAGCATCCTCAATAAGATTATCAGTGCTTTTCTCAGCAGAAATTTTGCAGGCCAGAAAACAGAAAGATGATATATTTTAGTATTGTTAAAGAGGAAAACGCTCCACCTAGAATCCTGTATCTAGCAAAACAGTTCTTCAAAAATGAAAGAGAAATTAAGACATCCCCAGACAAACAAAAGCTGAGGGACTTCATTAACACTATGACAGCTCTATCTGAAACAATAATGGGAACCCTTCCAGTTGAAATGAAAGGACATTAGACAATAACTTGAAGTCCTATGAAAATATAAAGTTCTCTGGTAAAGGTGAATTACGAACAAATATAAAAACCAGTATTATTGAAATTTTGATTTGTAATTCTATTTTCCACAGGATTTAAAAGACAAATGCATAAAATTATAAATCTGTGTTAGTGAGTATATAGTACATAAAGATATAACTGAGTCATTAATAACATAAATTGGGAGAAACAGAGCTTAAAGGAGTAGAGTATTTCATATGAAAGTTAAGTTTTTATTGAAGTCTTTATTATCTTTATTGAAGTTAAGTATCAATTTAAGATAAATTGTGATAACTTTAGATGTTACATGTAATTACTATCATAACCACAAACAAAATAATCTATAGGATATGCACAAAAGACAAAGAGTAGGAAATCAAAATGTGTCATTACAAAAAAATTAACTGAAAACAAAGGAAGAAATGAGATGCTTCAAATCCATTAGGATGGCTACCATTAAAAAAAAAGGCAACTGTTGGCAAGAATGTGGAGAAATTGGGACTCTTGTGCATTGCTGATTGGGATGTAAAATGGTGCAACTGCTATGGAAAGTCGTATGGTGAGGCTTCAAAAAATTAAAAGTAGAATTACCATATATTCCAGAAATCCCACTTCTGAGTATATACCCCCCCAAAAAATTAAAGTAGAGACAAAAAGAGATTCTTATACACACATGTTCAAAGCCTTTAAATTACTCAAAAAGTGGAAGGAACCCAAATATCCATCAAAAGATGAATGGATGAACAAAATCTGGTATATACATATGGTGGAATATTATTCAGCCTTTAAAAGGATGGAAAGTCTTACACATGCTACAATATGAAAGAACTTTGAAAACACTATATTAAGTGGAATAAACCAGTCACAAAAATACAAGTGCTATATTATTCCACTTATATGAGGTACCTAAACAAGTCAAATGTATAGAGACATAAAGTTGAACACTGG